ATTTGCAGCGGGGGGGGGGTTCAGTTTATTTGTGGCATGAGAAGCAAATTTTATTCAGAAGGATTGGGTTAATACTTTATAAGCTGCAGTGTAATTGTAAAACAATTTAAATACTGTAGAAAAATTATTCTAGAGCAGTGTTTCTTAAACTTTTTCTTTCAGGACCCTTTCCCACTTTTAAAAATTATGAGAATCCCCAAAGAGCTTTTGTTGGTATGGGTTATATTTATCAATATTTACCATATTAAAAATTAAAATTGACACATTAGCTGCCACTACCACTTCTCACAGTTGTTTGATGGGATTTTAATATTTTATTATTTTTCAACATAGGCTGGCAAATAATTTTGATTTCATGGACCCGAGAGGGTCTTGGGAAACCCCTAGGGGTCCTTGGATCACACTTTGAGAAACACTGTCTTAGAGTGACTACTGTTACAAAAGATAAGCATATATAAAAATCCAGATGAAGTGTTGCTTCCAACTGTACTGCAGTAATTCGTAGTTACATTAACGAGAGTACTAGATATATTAACTGATATATGATTTTGCTGCCACTTCAGAACCATTTGAAATCCATCTGGCCTACTCTGTTTCAACTTTTCTTCAGGATATTTTGAAACATTTCATCTCCTTCACACTTCATGCTACAGCTTCAGATAAGAAGTCTGAACTTTAACCAGTGGATATTTTGTTCATGGACTGTTGGAGGCAATTTAGATGTCAGGATTTCTGGCACAGTATTTCCTTTGAACATTTTATATATGCTTATGTTCTGTAACAGTATTAATAACTGTAACAGTTATTCTTGAGTACTTCTACAGAATTTAAATTGTTCTATATTTACACTGCAGCTAATAAGGAGTCAACCTGATTCTTGCTTTGTTTTTTAAAAATATCAGGTTTTATCAACTTGTCTTTGTTTTCCTTTTGTAAAATAAAAATCAGGTGAAATCCAAATTGGCTAAAAAATTCAGATGAAAACACAAATCAAACAACTTTCTATCATCATCATCATCATCATCATCATCATCTTATTTATTTATTTAATAGACTTGTCCCCACCCATCTCCCCACAATGGAGGACTCTGGGCAGCTAACAACAAACTAAAATCAAAAATGCATAATTAAAAGTTATAAAAACCAAACATACAAAGATAAAAAGGCTAAAAAGTCCAAGAGGCCGGTAGAGGCCACACCAGGCCGCTAAGGGGCCAGCCAACCCCACTTC